GGACACCTCGAACTCCTCCCAGCAAGTGTGGGCAGGCTGGATAGTGCGTGACGTGTCTGAATGAACACTGACTTGGTAAGTTCGCTTGACGAATCCCCGCAAAAGATTGGACGATTAGGACCCATAGAAGAACTAAACAGTGTGTGCGCATCTCCAACTCCTTGGACGTGGTTGGTTCCAGGGATCCATGAATACGCTCAAGCCAATTGGAGCACTCACAAGAATCAGCGCAGGGCCAGCTGGTTTTCCTGGTCTTTGATTCCACCGCTGTGCCGGGCAAACGAGGCTGCAAATCCTTCAAAGTGATGCCTAAGGTAACTGGCAATGGGATCCTGCAAGGAACTTCCAAATCATGTCCTGAGGATCCTGCACTGGAGGTTGTCTTGAAGTCAAGATCGGGTACTTGGGGAAAAACTCGTTCATCACCTCACACCGCTAAAGTCATACGGCCTAGGAGTCTGCCGCCGGCTGTAGTTTGTGCCAAGAACAGCGCAGTTTGTTCCAAGAAAAGATGTTCACGAAATCGCCTGAGCAAACAAAATCAAACATCTCTTCACCTCCACAGGATCTACTCAACAAGTAGTATATGACTAGCGCTCTGCAGGGACCACCTCACACGTTGCATCACGTTGCCAAATTGCCAAAGCAACCAAAAAAACTCCACGAAATACAAGAGATTGCGCACCCATCTTCGCTCATTTTGGTTGGCGGGCTTGACATCGCTCAAGTGAAACACAAGCGCAGTTGTTCTGCGCATAAGTCCACGCGCCGAAACTTAAGCTTCCAGGATCTTAGCATAGCCAGCTCAAGCTCATTGCCAATTGTACATTTTCTTGGACACGGGTGGCAACGTTGTGGGCTGCACCTTGAGTAACAAACTTGTGAGCCACTATCCCGACAGTTTTTGCGAGCAGGTTTGAATCCACCGAAGCATATTGCATTTGAAATCCAAATGCATTTACTCATCTTCAAATTCTTCAAGCAGCGAGTTCCCTGCGCACATGTCCCATTTTGTCCCTGCCTTTCCCCCTTGCCGACGTGGGGCCACCTTCCTGCCAGAGTGCCCCAAACACGACAACAAGCACCAAACAGGTCCTGTTGAAAGCCTTCGGTGTGTTCAATGCTCCTGTCCTGGGCGGAAAGTCACCGTAGCAAGTGCTTTTCACTTGTCCTTTCCTGGCCGACAGTGTCAGGCAATGGGCAATTAACAGCAAGCAAGCCTCCAAGGGTGCTGGGTGGGCAGGGTGGAACCGCGTTGGAGACCACGAGGAGCAAAGTTTGGCGTTGTGTTGCCGGGGCCTGGGCTGATCAGCGAACCGGTAGTGTGGGACATCAGGCTTGAGTTGACTCCGAGTTGATGCTGCCGAAAAGCTGAAATGAACAACAAACAGAATCATGAGAATCACCTCAAAACCCGATATTGACAATATGCTTGTCATCGCTCCTCTATTTACCTACAGCGAATCTAGCTAAACAATCGAGATGGTGCCTCGCCTGGGTTTTCTTGGGACTCTCAACTTGGAATGGTTTCAGTCCGTTGCCATGGCCAAGGCCCCAACCAGCCAACACCAAATCCACCAAGTGGTCTCGACTGTGCCGTGGCAACTTGGGCACCTGCCAAACTGGAAAACTCACTGTGCAGCAGCCCAAGCAAGTGCCCCCATGTGAGGTGCCTGTAGTAGTTTTTCCCTGTCTTGATTTCTATACTTTTTAACTTGTGATCATCTTGCAGCATTGGATGCAAAAACATTCTATGTTGCCTTATCGTTCGACAATGCAGCTGCTAGAAAGGTCCGCGATGTATGTCGCGCGTTGGCAAACTGCACTGTAAATGATCATGGGCCTTTGGAAAAACATCGGCCAAGAACGTGAGACCGAAGCTAGCCTCTTCTAATTGCCCCATCTAAACATCCACATGAATCCTGAAGAGTCTGTGTGCAACCCCTTGCCCTTGATCGAGGACTTTTATCAAATAGTCTATGTATGTCTAGAATTAGACACAAACATGTGTATATAATATTATATGCCTGAGAAGGGAGGGGGCGAAAGCCAGCCGCCGTAAAAGACATCAATATGGTTATGGCGGGTGAATGCGAGAGCCCTGGTGAGCTCCCCACCTCTTTTCCTATCACCTCCTCCCCCGCCAAGCCCATTCTGTACATGAACTCCCACTCCATATGGGGTGCCCTTTTGC